ACACCTTCAGCGATCATCCATCAAAAACAACCTTCGTAGCGGCAGCCCCTGCATGTAGTAATCCTCATCCTCCCCGACAGAGCCGTGGGTAAGGTCTGCCAACCCCACAAGGAGTCCTAGCAGGGCCAGGGGGGTTAAGAGCCTGAGGTGTTTTCTTATCATTTTCTGGGGATTACCTCCAGTTGAGAGTCCTGATGCTGTCTCCAGAGGAGCCTGCTGCTGCTGCCGGGCAGCGTCCCATCAACTGCTCGCCTTTCTCTCCCTTCCCACTCCAACAGGAAGAGTTCACAAAGTTTTCAAAGCACTCCTAGTCACTGACGAAAGCTGGGAGCCAGAGGGTCCATGGACGCCTCTGCCTGAGAAAAATGCAGCGAGGGAGGGAGAAACAGAGAGCAGGAGATGAGGAAGCAGAAAGGGAAGAGGCAGGAAGACAGACAATACAGTTCTGTTTAGGATGCCACGAGGCATGGTAGAGACAGAAACTGACACATTTGGGATCAGCTGTCATATTCATCTCCTCCTACCTTCTCTGATCAGAGAAAAGTTTACTCTATCGTGTGCGGGGGAAGCAACTGGGAGACCTAAGCAACCCTTAAACAGTTTCCAATTCTGGATCTTCAAAGGAAAAGCAGCACCAAGTATCCTTCTTGTGCCCACATGAGGTCTAAATTGGCACAACACATGTAAGCAAACAGGCACCGTGATCCACCCTTTTTTTAGTTTGACGAGTCGGTTACAAATGTGTGTGCATCCGATAGTAAAAGTGTATTTAACGGGTTCAGAATCAGCGACCATTATACATCCTTTGCTTCAGCCAAGACATGTGTGGACTCTTCAGTAGTCTGCACGTTAACAAGCAGTGGAAATCTAACAAAACACAGTCTCTGTGGAGCATTCAGGCATGTTCCAACACAGGGATGGAGCGCTGCCCTGTGTGTCACTGCTTATCACATCATGAAGCTTTTCCTCTTTTTTTTTCTTCCCCTCGCTCTCTCTCGCTTTTATACAGCCATGACTGCAGCAGCTGATGGAGCCTCACTTTCATAACAAGATGATAACAAAGCCTAAAGCGAGAGTCAAACTGGCAGATTCTTTATTAAACCATAATTTGTTCGCTGAAGAGATTTTTCTTTAGGTAAAATTAGAGGGGGGGGGGGAAAGAGATAGAGAGAAAGGTTTTCTCTTGAGTGTGTGCTTTTTGTGTTAATGCTAAGAAAAGAAATGTCTAGCCTTGGGCTTAAAAGATGTAGTCATAAGGAGCAGGGATTCCACCAAGGATTCGCACGACTAATAGCTACAGCTTCTGACATTTCATCAAGCTGAGGCAAGACAAACTAAGGCAGATATAATAATCCCTAACAAGCCTGGTGGCCTGCCTGAATGCTGCCCAATTTAAATGTGCTGGTTCATTACACATAACTCATGTAGATGGACAGAAAACTGCAAAGGTTGCCTGGAAATCACTCACACCTGAGACTGAGACAGCCTCTGAACGGAGGCTAAAGTGGGCAGAGGCTGCAGGCTAATCACAGAAGAACAGGATCTGGAGTGGGTGGACAGCTCAGGGCTGGAAGACTCTGTTCAGCTGGCATAATCCTTCGCCAGCTAGGCAGCCATTCACTGCTCGCCCACTTCTCATCTAGACTACACCCATCCTGAGCCGTATGGGAGGAAAGGAAGGAGGGATGAGAAGAAGGCATCCAAAAAG